GCTTGCACCAATGTAGAGAAAATGCCCTTTTTTCCCCTTGTCCCTTTGGTTTCCAGCTCAGTGGCACACAATGCCCGGGTGCTCCAGGAGTCGCCTATTGTTCCCAGGCACCTGGGTGTGAAGGGAGTCCCGGGCCGGGGAGCCGCCTTCCTCCCTTCTGCACCTGGCTGTTCCGCGCGGCGCGGATCCCTTCCCGCCTGCCCCTGCCCTCCTGCATCCAGCCCTGCATTCCTGCAGTGTGGCTGCCTGGCTTCTCCCCATCCTCGCCCTGACCCCTCAGCACTGTTTAATCTTCTTGAAGACGAAGCCTGTCCTGCAAAGCTGAGCTGCTCGTTCTGCATGTCTAGGCGCCAATCCCAAACAGGAAAAATGAATGTGAATGTACAGCTCCCCCACAGCAAATGATGAAAAGAGCAAATAAGGYGGCAATTTCCATTTTATGGTTTGTGAAACTTTAGTAACAGCAAGAATCAGCTTGGAAGAGAATTTTGGACAAGTCCTTCACACTCAGATAAACTGCTTTAGTAGGGTGAATATATTTTGCTTTTGTTTTGCTGCACCCAAGATTTACATCAGCCCCTAGAATACTAACTCTTCCCTGTTTGCATCAAAAATAGAGTAGGACTGAATCTCTTAAGCAAATATGCATTTAGAAGTCTCTCTTCTATTTTACTAAGCTTTACCTTTTGGCATCTAAACGGATAAAATATTCTATTTGCAGCTAAATAAAAACAAACCATAGAAGCATAAACACACCTAAGCTGACAAAAGCCACTCCAATTATACAAGAAGCAATTAGAGAGCAGAACAGAACTGCTGGTGTAATTCCCTTCTGTTCAAAGGCCAAAGCTCCCGGCTGCGGCTCAGGAGGAGCGGCCCAGAAGGGCCGGGTGGCAGCAGGGACGTCCCGGCGGCCGCGGGGCCGTGCGGAGCCACCCGTGCCGGGCTAGCGAACGGCACCGCCACCGTCCCCATCCCAGAGGCACCTCCCAATCTGAAAACTGTCACATCTCTTCTCTGCTGGCACCGGGTTATGGTACAGGGACACGGGAACATGTTTCACCATGCGCTAGCGCTCTAGCAGGTAAGCACCATCTTCCAGAGGAAAAAGGCTTCTAAAATATCAGATTCAGATACAAAACTGCCTTTCTCTCTTAGCCAAGCTCTCAGTTTTTATTTTTTTTTTTTATTATCTATTGCAAAAATAAATACATATGAGGGAATTGAGAAAGCCTACTGCTCATTGAAAGCTCAGCAAGATACTTCGGAGAGCTGCTGGCGCTATTTGGAACTGCCACACAATCACCATCATTAAAAAGATGCCTGCCTTTCCTGGATTCCTGGAATTGGGGCTATAATATATATAAATGTCACTTATCTAAATATTTGAATGTAATATTTGAGACTTCTTTCTCTACAGGAAACAAAAGAACCTTATCAGAATAGTTTGGCTATGTTAAAAAAATAAATAAAAAAAAAAGCCTTGCAGTATTTCTAATTTAATTTGTTTTCTTTCTTCTTTATTTGTGCAATAATTGCAACTTATAAATCAATACTGACGTTTAGGATGGAGAAACATTAGAAGCTCCTCAAGCAACAAACTTCTGAAACCAGACAGAATGGAAATGCAGACTTCAATGTCCATCCAGCTCAATCAGTCAACGATAACTGCGAAGCGGGAGGGCCCAAAGTGTCCAACCGGGCGCTCTGCAGCCCCTGCTCRCCGGCGCTCGCCACCCGTAGCGGCTCCGTGGCAGGAGCTGCAACCCCTGGCAGAACCACACAGCTCTAGCAGCCCTAACATCGACTCCSAGAAAAACCCTTCCCAAAAGGCCAGGCCTCGGCGAGTGCTCCTTCCTTCCACTAAGCRTTAAAAGATGAGGTTCTAGGAACTACAATGTCTGTGGCCTTTGGAGGAAAACAAGCATTTTGTTGGAAAAGGAAAAAAAACAGATCAAAGACGCTCAGTACCACAAGAGCTCCGCAGCACTTCAGCCAGGGTCCCCCGAGCAGCCCCTAAAGCTGCCTGTGCACAYCAGGAACGTGTTAGAAGCAGCCACGGTGACCTGGACTCACGGGTGWCTTGACTTGCCACTGGAGGGGACAAGCTGCCTTGCAAAGGAGAAACTGAGGAAGCCCAAAGGCCACTGTGTTTTGTGTTTATTTTCCATATAGCCCAAGGATGAGAGGGATAACGCCATGCACCCTACCTAGAAAGTGGGTGCACACGGGGACCCACTTTTCCCCCAAGAGCCAGTCCAGTCTAGTCCTATGCTCTATTCATTCAAGCCTTTCTTGCTGTCTGACAAGTGCTGCCCTTCTCCCCGCTAGTTAAACCTTGGATGCTCTATCGCTCTTGCTACTTGTTGGTTATCATCAGCATCCAAGTGAAGAAGGAGAAGCAGCCATAGTCACAACCTTCCCTGCACTTCCTTCTCCTCTCGTAGCCTTCCCAAGAACATCATGCTTCATTCCTACTGCTTTGCCCTGGGCTAGCAGGCCAAAACCCTCTTCAGGTCAAGGAGAGGGAGAGCTCTCCTGCCATGGAGACCTTTCCCACAATGTCTTGGTGTGACCATTAAAACAATTCTGTCTTAAACAGCCTCTTAGTATCCAATCAACAGCTACCAAGACGAGACCCAACGCTACGAACTCTCATACATGCAGATAATTGTTCGCCAGAATTTACCAGCAATCAGCTAAAGCACCATACAAAGGATTTCAAGATCCTCGCTGGCATTTTTTTGTTAGCTAACAACTGCAGGTACGTAACTGTGCTTAGGAAAGCTGGAACCGAACTTACTATAGGGCGCGAGATAATGAGTTAAAATTAAAGGTTGCTGCTGGCTTGGCAGCCCATCCCCCGTTAGCTAATCTGTCATGTAATGAAGAGAAGCACCTAGCGCGGGACAGCTCGCTGCCGGCTCACTTACCGCGAGCTGATTAAGAATGTTCCACCACCAGCAGACTGCAGACCTTTCCAACAAAAATAAATAGACTGTATGCAAATGTGTTTGTCACTTTGACAGCATGTCTCAATTAAAGCATCTCGCTGCTGCTGGTAGCCTCGCTCGCTGCAGCGGTATGGACGGGGCTTACTGCATTACTGATACACGGGGCTTGACCCTAATCCACATGCATGCATTTTAAAAAAGTCTGCCTTTGCCATATACACTCGCATAATACTAGCAGACACAGAAAGCAAGTGACAATGAGAAAAAAGCCTCTTTCATCCTCTTCGGTTTATAAGAGCTGTGAATGCACAAACAGCCCTTATTTCAGAGTTCTGGTGGCTTTTTAATTGTTCCCACCTACTGTATCCCAGGCAGAGTTAAAAGTGACACTGAAATCTCTCCCTTTAATCACTAGTTAGAAACCATCTCCTGTTTAAACAGTAATTTTTGCTCTTTTTTTCCCTCCCAAAAGCCTTAATTTATTTTTCATAGATTTGAACACCTTTCCTGTTGCATGAAAATGTGATTTAATTTTCAATTTGGCACTGCATTATCAGCAAAAAGGGACCTGTGAAAGGACAAAGGCTCTAAGCGAGGTAGCCCCACAACTGCCAAGTTAGATAATTTTTTGGAAGCCTGACATTTGTAATGTAATGGCAGTAATAAGCATTTAGCAAGCGAGTCTTTCACCGCAGCCAGTGGTTCACTAGAGCTGATGTGTGTTTCCTTTGACACAAAGTGATCATTAAAAAATTTGAAAGTGGCCATTAAAAAAAACTCATGAATTTAAAGTCACATTTTCCACTTGATTATATATTTCATTAATCTACCAAAATGCCTGAACTATTCATCCTTCATAGAAATCTGAAGAGAAAAAATGAAAATACACTATAGTATTAGCTGGATTTCTGACTGTTTTAAAGGAAATGTAGCATTTTCCTGCTAGAGCTAGGTGGCTATATTTCTCCAGTAGACCCAATTCCTCTCAGCTGTATAGGCACGGAAAATAAGCGAAAAATAAATTACTACTGCAAATATTTAATTGGAATGGAATCTGTTTGAAAAAAAGCCTTCAACCACTTACATTCTGCACAGTCGCCAAAGTTCCRAAATGACAGAGAGACCTGAAAATAAAACGCTCTGAGCAGTGGGGTATGATGTATCTGATGTGGCTCTGCTTAACATCGAAGCAAGGCAAGGCAGTTATACCGACTTGTTTCTATTATTGAATGCTCATCTATAAATCTGGTTTGCCTCACATTTTAATTCCTATTCCTTTTATAATTGCTTTTGTTTATAATTGTTTTAAAATCACTTTTCATTAGGTGAAACCATGTATTTACTTCTCTCATGACAACAATACTGTAAAAGAAAAAAAAAAAACACAATCCAAAATAATGGTATTTCCTGAGAGAAACAAACCCTTGTGCAGAACACTGGCAAATTCATAGTGAGCACTGTACATTTTTCTATGATAATCAAAACAAATGTAACATCTTCTATATAATTAGCCCTTAACATAAGAAACCAAAATTGCTCTTATACAAACATATTGAAAAAAAATTATATGAGTAACTAATGTGCATAGCTCAATTGTCAATACTGAAATAGAAAGTACACTAATAAGCAATTAATTGATTTTTCTATCTTAGTTCACCACTTTCAATTTTCAAATAATGTTAAAAAGCTTTAATAGCWGGATGTTGCATGTTGACACTAATGATCTGGCTATATAGCAGAGGATATTTTAAATTATACACCCTCAGTCCTGAGGGCCACAGCATCTTACGCTAAAAGAACCAAACAGATTATAAAATTGCCTTAATGATTTCATATTTTTTTTTCAAACTGAGTTAGAATATGCTTTCCTCCCAAAACACTGTATGAACAGAAAGAATCAGTAGACACCACAAAGGAAGGTTTTTGAATCCCATTYATACAGGTACATCATTCAGCTACAAAAGTTAAAGAAATGATTGGCATCCCCTACATGGTGCCTTTCCTCTGGTTTTCTGGAGTTTAGAGAATGCTAAGAGTAACATGTACCTGTCCAAAGTGCACTGTGATGGGTCTTCTATCTTCCCTTAACCTGGGGTCCTTCTTTTCAACCGCAGGAGAGGGTGCTGGCCGGGGCAGAGCCTCTTCGGGCACCGCAGAGCAGCCGTTCTCTGTGATGTCCTGCGTGGGGAAAGGCAGAAAGCATSGTCAGGGCATTCCTCGGCAAGGGAAGGGGCACAAGGAGACACTAACATTTTGGTGTTACGAAAAACAAGTACAGAAAAATAAACGTTATTAGAAGAAAAATTCTATTGCACTTTGCCAAGCAAAGCTTGGGCACAATCAACACGAGTGCTGCTTGCAAACACCCAACACGTGCAGAAACATCTCTGACTTAAACTAGCAAAAGCCAGGAAATGTGTAGGGAGAACAACCAGTCCAAACTCCCATTTGAGGGACACAGTGATGGAAAGCCAAGAACAGGCTCATCCTGCTTTTGCAAAGCTCCCGAAAGCTGGAATGCCGAGCTGTGGCACCGCCGAACTACGTGCGGCCCGACGGCACTTGTGGAAGCGCCAAGGGTGGCCACGAGTCCTTGTGCCTTTGGAAGGGCCCCAAAACCCACTGCTGTCCRGGTGGATGCGGGATGCTCTGGGGGCTCAGCAGGACAGTGGCCCTGCRGCCGTGGCATTTGCCACCTGCACGGCCAGGGGGACAACGGTCGGTGGCAATGGGCAGTGGTTGCAGAGTCGAGGCGGCTGGGCCAGCGGCGCGGTGGGCCCCAAACCTTCAATCCCTTTGCAACAATGTGGAGGAAATAATACTCAGTAAATATAGAGAAAAAGCCGCACACATGGCAGCGCTGTAAGCATGACCCCGGGCTGGCGGCTGCCACCGACACCGCTTTGATGGCCTGCCCTTTGCCATGGCCCCGCGAGGCCCCGGCTTGCTCAGGTACAGTAATGAGCCGTGTAGGCTGATGGCCAATTAGGAGCGGGGCTTTTGGACACCGGCTGACCTAATGTGTTTAGGTCAAATGAAACAAAAAGCTGGCTGGACTTTCTAAGGGGCTTTGTGTGCTCCACACAGAGGCTGAGAGACCTTTTTAGCTCCAGCTGGCAGAGCGGTGGTTCAGCACCGTGGGCACACGGCGCGCCGCGAAATTAGCAACTTCGGAAAGGCAAACTAGAGAGAAAAACTTTTTCCTTCCCCCCAGCAGCTGCACAATGCTACCTCGTCTGGAACAAATACAACAAAGTGCACTGGGTTAGCAACAAAGAAGCCGAAAAACAACTCGAGCACAAGAAATGTAAGTTTTTCTAAAACTTACAATACGTGATCTCTAAGCCAGCAACAAACTAGCAAGGGTGACGGCTGCCGCAGAAGGTGGGGAGGCTGCACACGCTGTTGTGCAGGGCAGCRGATGAACAGGAACGCTACTGCCCGGCTCCTGCAGCAGCATGGCTGTGAAACGGCGCCAGGCTGCGGACCCGTCCCGTGCCGGGGGGCCCGGAGGCGAYGGGAAATGCCAGAGCCCCTGTGTGCTGGAAGGGAGGCCAGCTTGGCCCCCAAGGAGGAGCTACATCTTGGGAGTCAGCATAACACCGAGCACCCTCCTCCAGGCAAGACTCCCCAGGAAATGGGCACAAAGGTTGGGAGACCAGGGCAGGGGGAAAGGAAGGAGATGAAGACTTCAGGCTGAACAAGTTGTGACACCAGAAAAGTGAAGCTTCCTCACGGCGGCTCCCAACGCTGGAAGCTCCATGGTGGCGGCCGCGCGGGGCCTCTCGGTGACGCCAGGCCCCGACCTGGCGGCTCCTGAGGCCCGGCTCCCTTGCGCAGCTCAGCGGAAGGGATTTGCTTCTTGCTTACTTAATAAAATATGAGAAATAACACGTTTGATACCTCAATATTCACTCAAAATCCCAAAAAGTCAGACAGGAACAACACTGTTTCTGTTGTCAAAGCTAAATTTACCTCACAAAAGCCTGTTGTCTGCCTTCAACTGCAACATATCTGAGCCTAATAAACAGAGAGGACTGGCTTTAAAATGGTTGCGGTGGCATTCACGGCACCAAGAAGTCCTCCAGCCCTCCCAAAAACAAGGGGGAAAAATATCCAGAAAGGCAGAAACTTAGCCATGTTTCAGAGGCCTTTTAATGAAAATAAAGTGTAATTTAAGAATACTATGAATAATGCCCCACACCTATTGCTTGAGGGGAAAAAAGTATTGTACTAATTGGTGGAAAGAGAGAGTGACAACTCTTTACCACACTCCGTAATGTAAATAAACGGCACGTCCCCAATGCCTGTCCCTGCAGGGGAAGTCTTTGCTAAATTGAGTTATGAATTTACTATCTTAATGCACCGTGACAGAGAGAACACTTGTTTAGCTATTTATTTTAATGGAGAAAATCCCAAAATTTTACAGAATGAGTAAAACAGATATGCAGATATGTAAAGTTAACCATGTAAACTGAATAAGGTTTTCTTCAACTGAAATAAACATTATGGTTTTTTTCTAGAATCTCTATATCATGGACTACAAATACCATCTATTAGAAACACAAGAAAAACATGTCGGAACGTCTAGGGAGGTTTTTTTAGTTATTTTATAAATCTCTAAATGAGATGTTTTCAGCTGTACCAATAATAAAGCCCTAACATCCCACTGATAACAGACATTAACTAAAGCCACACAGGGATCTAGTAAGTAAAATAGTTTTGAATACATTAATGCAAAGTGCCCAGCCATTTATAAACTGTCTTATCCGGCAGCTGTCAGTAAGTAACATTCTCCTTACTGAAAGTTGAGGATGGTACCATTCACATTCCTCCTTCTTCCTAATTCTATGCAGTTAAGCTTCAAACGAGGCCAGTAACAGAGTGACTTGACCACCATGCTCCATTTGTGAAATGGAAAAAGCTGCCTTTACAGGGGGAAAAAAAAGGGGGAAAAAAGAAAAAAAAAAGAAAAAAAGAACAGAAAAAAATACCGCAGCAGATATAAAATAAAGCTACCATGCTGTATCTATTAACAATTATTTGCTATCACTCATAAGGATTCTCTGAAAACTATTTCTGTTGCTTTGAAATACTGTACCACAAATGAACAAGGGATGGAAATAGAGCCCCATTCAATCTCCACTATCATATTAAAGAAGGACCTTACACACACCACAGTGACCTCTCAACAGGTCAATCCTGCATTTCCCATTTGCAATTCAAACCCAAGACTGGAGCAGACCAAGGGCAAAATGGGCTCTTGATTATATTTAAGAGGTCATCATTGCTATGCAGAGTTGTAGGAAGCAGACCTCTAGCTTTATTGCATTTTTAAATTCTATCTTGTACAAACGCTGCTCATATTTGGCAGTGAAAACTGGAAAAGGAATGTTTATATTTGACTTTCCTCACCAGCGACTTTCATTCTTTCTGTGTTAATAACAGAAAATAGTATCTGTTATTCTGTTAAGTTCAATTTAAAAAGAATATTAAGCTATACTTAGAACATGGAAGAGTAGCACTTTAAATCTGATAAAATTATGTATTTAATTATGCCAGAATTTCAAACATAAAATAACCATATATTGCAAGAATATACCTGAAAAATACAATATCCTAGGATGAAAATTGGCAAGGATGCACAAATTGACTTATTAACAGAGGACTGCAGACATTTAGATTGAAAACAATGTTTGAGAGTTGCCAAAACAATTTCTTATTTTTATCACCCTAAACAAAGCAATACCTCTTTTCAGAGTTATCTTGTAATGGTGCATTCAAAAGGAGAAAAGAATGGAGCTGAAAAAGAGCAGATTTACTGAAGGGAAGAGAGGTAGAACAGTGTGTGTCAATTATTTATAGAAGTCTTAAACTCTTGTGAAAGCACATGTTTAACGATCTTACTTACAGCAATACTAAATAATAAGGAAGGTGAAACAAAATTGGTCCATTCATTTGTAAATGTTATGTGTATTTTAAAAAGAACAGTTGGTGCTTGAAGRACTAAGAAGACAAGAGCAATAAAACAAAGCAATGAATGAATAAATGAGTTGAGAAGCTTCTCAATATTTTCTATAAAAATGTCACAGACTAACATATAATTATATTAGCATTTAAAATACAGGAAATCAATTTGGTCATTTTGCACAAAACCAACTATGCCAGAGGCACATGAGAAGCTCACACAATATCATTATTCACGAAAGTTATGTCCAGAAGTAAAATGCACGGAATGACAGAAAAAGAAAACTTGTGTATAGGCAGGTGTTCCACGCTTCTATCTTGTATTTTAATATTATAGCCAAAGTGGCCACACATAAAGTAATAAATGCAATAAAATCAAATAGCATGAAAATAATCCGAATGAAATCTTTAACAATTTTTAACAATTGGCTGAAATCTGTAATTAGAGGGCTAATAACATTTGGACTGCTTATTTCAAAAACTTATAACCTGACTTTGGAATAACCGCTTTGTGGGGGTTATTATTTTGTCGGTATGGTTAGGCAGATTTCTGATCACATCAAAGGAATATATTTACAGTGTTACTTTAAGATGATGGTGTCAGATTTAGAGGGGGAAAAATTCCTGAAATATCACACTAAAAAAAATCCCAGCAATTAATACACAATAAATTGAAACAAAAATCTGAGAGTTTCACAGTTACATTAACAAATTGGCTACTGTATTCCCAGCAGACTCTTAATAGCTCTGATTCACAGAATAAATAGAGTATCTGAAATAAACCTTAAGGCAGAATTAACCATTCCTCCATTCAGTACCTATCAATATGACCATGTATCTGCTTTAAACAGGCAATTAATATCGGATAACACACTCCTTGAACACAGTTTAGCATTCCCAGAACCTTACTGTTTACAAACAAAAAAAGTCATTCATAGAACAACAAACAGTTCAAGTATGTTTTGCTGCAAAATTCAAATCTAAAATGAAAACCAAATCAGATATAATTTATTTGTGCCTAAACTTTAAAGTAAATACTCATGAAATGCATAAATCATCTGCTGAATGACAGACACTATGTTATTTTCCCTGAGATGTTGCTGTCGAAATAACAACCATTTGCCATTTGGAGAAAGTTCACTGCGACGACTGCACGCAGGATCTCCCCATTCACGCCGAGCCCTGATCCATGAGGCCCAGCACAAAGGAGAGGAGAGGGACCCCTCTAAGCAGAGCACTCAATTTTCTGGCTTTTGTGGGTTTAAGTCAGAGCCTTAGTGTATTTGAAGATAGTTTTTTTTGTCTGTGAATATTTATAACAGTGTGAAAAATCCAGGACAGCTGGTAATGCATTTTGAAGTGTGCTAACAACACTGTATCAAACAGCTTCCTATTGATCACATAATGCTTTTTGTGGCTAAGTATTTCATACATGGTGCTTATACATTTTGAATAAAAACTTCAAGTACCTTTTGCTTCAAGCGGTTTTTCACTTCTTTTATTCCCATTTTTGCATGATCTTTTGCCTGCATGAAAAATTAATTTAAGTTAAAATCCCCTTCTACTTCCAGCAGTGACTGTGCTTAATTTCAGTGCATCAAGACTTAAAAGATTCACCTTCTCTAGTAACTAAAAAAGGCATGGAAAACAAATGGCACAAGGGACTAAAAACAGGTATTAAAACAAACAAAAAGCTAAAAAAAAACAAAAACAAAAACAAAAACAAAAACAAACCCCATACACTCAATGCAGCAGAAATTTTGCTTTCTCTGTCTTGAGGGCAAAGACATCTTTTGTCTTTTCCCCTTCCAGACCTTAGGTCTTTCTTTTGCTATATTTACCTTTGCTCTAAGTTAGCAATCAATAGTGATAGCAAACCTTCAAACTCCCCCTTGCAGTACTGTGGATGCCAGTTCCACCTAGCAGAGCTACTCTAACCCTGCTCATCTCCCAGGCCAGACGGGAAAGGAGGAAAAATGTGAACACTCGTGTCAAATCTTCTCGCAGCAATATCTCCTACGATTCAGTGTATAATAAATCCTCAGTTGTTTCAATGTTGCTTCTTCTTGTACAGTGAAATTGTATGGTAATACCGTAATACACTACCTATTATATTTATATATATATGTATATACACCTTAGATATTTTTAAGAGAACTGAAAGTATTTTCATTTTAAAAACTCAAAAAACTCAGTAAGTTGGGTTCTAAATAAGCAAGTATAAAAAGAGCATAAAAAAATTAACATTGAAATTTAGAAAAGCTGGAACAATCCAGGAAATGAGAGGATTCCCTTATTTCAATGAAACTGCAAGCACAAAAACCGCAGCTAACAATGGATTTCCAGCAGGGTAATGATGAGGTGGTAGAGCTGCTTAGCACAGAATATAGGCACTATTTCCCAGAAGTAGTTCTGTTTAATAAATAGGAAGTATACTTTCAAAAGAAATCACAGGTTCTCCTTTCCATTTGCATTTCTGCTGTGTTTAAATATTTAAAAATTAACTTCTTCCATTGCATTTACATTTGAAATTTAGAGGAAGGCATATCTTAAAGAACTGTTGAGCACAATAAAAATGAACTTAAGTCTTGAGTCTCCCTTGAAAGGTTAAAAAGAACTGTAATTAGACTCTCCTCTCCCTAGTAAGCCATTACTCAATACTTACAAATTTATAGACAGTCTTCATGGCAGGGTTAGCCTTGGTCTTTACTGTATTTAGAATGGCTCCGCTTCCTTTCTATAATTATGATAAGCATGGAATAAAATTTATTAAAGCTCTTTAAAACAAAAAGCAATCCAAAAGCCACCATTTTTAACAACTTAACAAAGATTTAGCTACACTGATTAGGAGATTTGAATATTAAAATGGCAAATTTAATTCATGCATAGCACCTTCTTTCATTTCATACATGCGGCATCCTACATGTATGTGTGCATATATTCTATATATTTAAACATACGCATAGACACACACACATATATATATATACACACACACACACACACATGTATTTCTTTGGGAGGGATTTTCTTTTTTTTTTTTTTGCCTTTTACTATTTTGAAGTGTGTTTAATCCAATACAATCAGAAGTCCCACTTTTTGTATTCACAGTAAGACCTGGAATGTGTGTTCTTACCCTTACTGTGGAGAGCCACTGGAGGTACAACTTGTCACTGCCTGGAGAGGATCAAAACAAACAAATAAACAAAACTGCAGCTCTACCAAGCAGAAATCAGCTGCAATGGGAAGCATCAGCACTTAGCGAGTCTGGTAGCACAAATACTACAGAAATGGAATGGGGCGTTCCATTAATGAAATTAAATAACCAAGAATTGTCCAGATACCTTTAACTTTTCTTCTCCTTGCTCAGAGGATTTCAAGTTTCTTTGGGTTCTTTTTCAGAGGTTTGAAAACATTGAGATTTTTCTTTTTTAAGCTTGTTAAAAAAAATTCAGGTGGTTCTTGGTAAAGCCAGGGTTTTTTCACTATCCTGCATTGCAAGAGCTTTTTATTTGTACTTTAGCCAAGTGGCTAAGCTGAGGCTTTATAAAGGCCAAACAGACATTATTCAGACTATAATACCTTATTCAAAGTCTTAAAAAGGAAAGAACAAAAATTTAAGACACTTCAAACTACAGGATCATGGGTGTCTCACATATTTAGAAGAGTGACCACAGTGATCCATTTGATCAGGCCTCAAGCAGGTCAGAGGCAGTCTCCAAAATTACTTAAAAATACTTTATTTCTTACCACCATATTCTCCCATATTTATCTCTTCTTCGAAAACATCACTGAAGCCCTCTCCAGAGTTAAGAAGATCCAGGCGGCCATCGATGAACTACAATATCAACATAAGAGAACGCATCAAYATGTCCGGCACCCCATCCTTTGGCTTTTGAGAACATTTTATTCTGCATTTGGTAGAGCGTGGCAGCCCACGGCGGTACCTGCTTGAAGAGCTGCAGCTGGATGGCGTTCTGCAGGAACTGCCGCGTGACGGCGGAGCGGTGGGACACGAARGCCTCCTCGCAGAAGGTGATGGGCTCACCCTGCAGAGTGAAAAAGCATCGAGTAAGGAGGCCTTCACTTTATCTGCCTCCAAAATAGTAGATATATAGAGACAGAGAAACAAATAAAGCAGACGTTACGTAAAAATAGTGTTTTTCTTCAGGTTAGCAAGTGGAAGCATGAGAGAGGACAGAGCTGCTTTTCATCATGATCCCTAGAAAGAAGTCAGAAACTGGGGGAAATCACTTATCATCAAGATGGAAGACATTTGCTTTCTGCACATTTGACTAATATTGGCGAGGGGGCTCCCACCATCCAGCCTAATGTCTCCAGCCTACAACCCCATATGGGGCAGACCCGCAGCGGACCTGCACGCACAAGGCCGGCATTTCTGCTGTGTTCTAGCCACAGTGCACAAAGATCAGACTTTCATATATGGCACTGAGTGAAATTTCCCTTTTTCGCAAGCTTGTTGGCAAAAGACAGAGATTGTTTTGCAGCTCTACTTTTATCTTATTTTAATGAGTTATGTTAATGCTGAAGGCTGCTGTGCATCTGCTGTAAGGCACAAATTTCTTCTACGCTTGAATCTACAAATACTCAGCATAGCAAGTAAATAAATTAAAAACAATAAAGTATGCTAAAATTATATTGATATGTAATTAGTATGGAGAGATTTAGATTAGATAGCAAAAAGCCCTAAAGAACCCACTTTAAAAGCATGATATGATGTCAATCCTGAAAGCCCTTAGATTAAAAATCTGATTTACTGTAGGCTGTCTAATGAAAGGATAACAGGACCACTAAATAGGCTGTACTTGAACAAACACACCACAGCTTACTCAAGCGTGTTGTTTTTTCCATTACAAGATTACAGCTCCAGGATAATTAACATAATTTTAAATTGTACTTATCTGCCAGTGAGTGACTCCAGTAGGTATGGGGAACAATACAATCAATATAACATTTATGGGCAAGAATGGTCATATTTCTACAACTTGCTCTCGACACAGTAAAGTGTACGACACATSCTTTCCAAATAACCAAAGGGAAAACATTGGGAAAGAAGGTCGGCCTGGCAGGCTGCAAGATGACAGAGACGCTGCTGCGCTGGCAGAGGCTCYGTCCTGAACTCCAGGCAGGGACTGTCTGAAACGCTCTAACGTATCCCAGGGATTAGCAACGGACCTAGCACTGGTGCTGCTGGACGGGGAGGAGGGACGGAACTGGACTGCGGCATGAGCTGGAAGCATCAACAGGAGACCACAAGCAAGAAGTCGTTTGGCAGAGAGAAACCCATTAGCTGATTTTGAGATGGGATTGACAACTTGGATTAATATAAGCTGCTTACATAAGGACTTTATACATGATATTCAACTGCTGCCATGGCAAGCGAGATGTGCTCAAGCTCTCCCTCGGGCAGCAGGAGGAACGGTGGGCTGGGCACCGCGCTGGAGGCAGGAGGGGAYGAGGCAGCTGCGCCCGGCCACAGGACACAAAACAATGCCATCAGAGGCCATTCAACACGTGTGAAAAAGACTTTCCCACCACATTCAGCCTTCACAGTGCAATAAAGGCTCTCTGAAGAATATTTGTGGCTGGCATGGATACAAGGTGGGGCATGAAAAGAAGAGGGAAAGCCATGAAGAAAAGTGTAGTAGAGGAAAAATCCACCAGAGTAAGGCTCAGGTTTCATTTAATCCTCACTTACACAATATGCGAGAAGAGAACCCGCAGCCCTTGGCACCATCCCTGGCGCAGGGCGCGTTGGGAGCCCCGCGTCACACTCCTCCTCGCACCCTCCCTGCCGCCCGCCCCGCATTACTGCGGTGTGAACACGCTTCCTCCCTCCGAGTACTAATGATTGAGTTTGTTCATTAGGTTGATTAGACCTTTTGACTTCTTAAGAGCCAATTCAGGCTCAACTGCTGCTGGATGGAAAGAAAAACTTTAATCACCAAGGTCAAGCGTGAGCTTGCCCGCTTAGCATGCATTAGCGGCTCCAGCCTCCCTGACCTCGGGAGGGGAACTCTCTCTTTCTTAACCCCATCCACGGCTTCATTACAAAAAGACAAGATGGCCTATAAGACCATTTTCTTGACAGATTTAGTTAAGTGTAAATTATAAAGCTAATCGGCTCTGCTTTTACTGACAGATGACACTGTACAAGAAGAGACATACTAAAAACTGCAGATGTTTTGAAAAATTAACAGTCTTGCTCACATGTGAAACAATTACAATGACTTGTCCTAATAAACTCATCGGCTCCTAAACTTTCTGTTTCCAATAGTTAGAATTTAGACCTTGACTCACCAACAGATTAAATCTCCATTCTTGTCCTCGACAACTATAAAAGCATAATGAGGTCGAAGATACAGCATGGCAAAAGCTCTAAATGCAGCACACTGATCTCCTGGTGAATCTGATCTGATTTGTACTATTGGATGATAGATTTATATTTCAAATTTGGATCCCAAAACCATTCTGTGAATCTATGATTATTTTATAAATACAAAACCACACACATTTCAAAGCAGTTTAGTTTGTAGTCTAACACAGGAGAAGCAACTTTAAAATATGAGGATTTAAGACCCCAGATGCATTGAAAAAATAGGTGTCTTTCCTTTATGGCTTTGCAAATCTCCCTTGATATGAATATTTTATATTCACACAGCATAATGAAGTTCATCAGGGCAGCGCTGCCGTCTTCTGACCCCTTAAAAAGCTGAAAAGCTTCATCCCACATCTGAGCTGTTGCCGGCCAATTTAAATTGGAATCCCGTTACAAACTAAACAATGTTTAATATCTACCTAAAGCTGCAAGTGAAAAGAAACCACAGTATCTCATATTGCCACAAAGTTGCATGAAATGTGCTGTTATATCTTAAAAAGCCAAAGAGCTCATTGAAGGATAAAGCTTTATTACGATTAGCTATGCTGTACAAAAACCCACGATGCCGCCCCATCTTCTGGGGAAAACATTTTTCCTCAGAAAAAGAGAAAACACCTTCTCTGGAGGAACCAACAGGAATGTGTGCAGACAGTTATGGGGTCACTGAAAGCAGCACCACAACCTGCCCGGCCTGACTGTACCCGGAGGGAGCAGCTGGCTGGCTGCAGCAGCCGCTCTCACAGCCAATATAAAGGACTACAAATCTGGGGGCAGAGAGCACAGCAGATGAAAGGAGGTCCTGGAGGAAGGGAGAAGGGCCAACACCAGTGACACTCTGGAAAGCCCCACAGGTGCCAAGATCGCTCATGGAAGGCCAAGTGCTTCCCTCCTGCAAAACAGGAACACCGCAGAGAGCATCAGGAGAGGAGGGCACCAAAGCCATCGCAGGACCACTGTAAAAACCAGTAAAATAACAAAGACAGGGTTTGATTAGGACAGCACGAGAGTCTCTTGCACAATAAGGATTTCATACAATCTGATTCCAGGGTAGGAAAAAAACAACCCACAGCCTGAAGACTTCGTTTAGACAATCCTAGAAGTTATGCCATGGACGATGCACGTAATCTCGCCTGCATTATCACGGTCAGCATGTGGTGCAGGGTAATGAATTTTGTGCTGCTGTATGCATGCCTTTAAACCGCGTAGGTGCTCTTTCAAAGCCTCTTTAATAAACACGCGAGCCATTAGAGCTGCTCTGTAAACTAGCCATGGAATGAAAAAATACGGGTGGAATTTAAAGGCGCAGAATGGGACAGCAGCCTGACAGTCCATGCGGCAAATCCAGTGTCTGCACACAGTGCAGCAACTCCAGACACCAGCAAGAACAGGGACACGGAGAGATTCAAATATCCCAGATTTATTACTAACTAGGTGCTGCAAAAAACTGTGGCCTTTACAAAAACTGATTATGTTGCAAGCGTAATGCCTGCAGTGATGTCCCCTTGTCCTTAACTCAACCCAGAATTACAACGAAACTAAGATATGAGGATGATCTTACTGATCTGGATGTATATGTCAACCTCAGATACAAGAGCAACCAACGGCAAACAACTCTGCAGACCTTTCCAGACCTGTGATTACCGCGTCAAGGAAAGATTAGCTCATCACAGCTGAAGGAGGCTGATCAGGCAGCCAGCAGGACTCCATAAAGAAAATCCAAAATTGGTGGCAGACACTCCATAAGACATTGGCTCATTCAGCTTGCATTTGCAAGGACAAATAACCTCCCCATAACTAGTACGCATGTTCAGTGCAAGAGAGCTCTTTGCATCTGCCTCAGTCATAATGGAAAGCACAGATCAAATACCCTGTATTAAGCAAATGATGGCACAGTTTTATTAGCATTTCAAGATGCAGCTCAGGAACAAAGAAATCATGTGCTCCGAGATTTGACCACACTTCTCATAAAGCAAACTAACCGTTCCGAGGCTAATTCGATGAATTAGCACAGCTAACAGAAACTACACGAATTATTTCAATCTGAAAGGTCTGATCATATCTATTTACCCGTGCAGGCTGGCAAATGCATGAGTGAACTGCCCCATCACTGCGTCCGACGTAAATGCCCACCTTCCACCATTAGTCCTTTTTTCATACAGTTATAGAAGACACCATCATTCACCAGCTGGCTGCCAGAGAGCTTGAAACATATTTAAATGCATAATCAAAATTTCAATGCAAAAATACTATATACAGATATTCAATCTTCAAATCTGGTTTAACACTGTCATTAGAAGCCTACAGCCAACACCACTTCTTTTATGACTTTAATAAAGATTCTGTTATTAAGCTGTGTCCAATTCTAAAAATATCCAAGATATCTTAAGATTGAAAAAAAAATGTTTTAGCCAGATTACAATTACTATGAAATTTTTGTAGAAAAAATATAAAATATGATGTTTGCATTAAAAGCTTGCCAGAAAGTCACTTCAAGTGGCAATAACCAGCAGAAGCTCAACAATGTCTTGGGATATTATTTCAGACAGTAACAACCAACACCTTTAAGAATCTACCAGAATTTGAAAAACAAACAGAACAGAATGAAACTAACAGGAAAATGAGTAAATGGAAAAAAACCCTTCAACACAG